CCTCCAATAGATTTTCAGTCTGTAAATGGCATGGGAAGATACTGGCCCTCTTTCCTACGCAGAGAAGCTGGTAGATTTGAACTAAGTGCCATTGGGTTAGCAGTGCAACTCCTTACCAGTAGACCATCAGAGCTCCTCTAAACTACCGACACCATACAGATTTCCATTGAAGTTAAGAAGCTAAGAAAAAAAAAAAAAAGAAGTAAGCTAAGATTCTCTACCAATTCAATTTGCATTTTTCAACCAGACTCCTTAACAAGGTGTAATAGCTTCTGAAACACAAAATATAAGGGGGGGGGGGTCGAGAGAGCTGACAAAACAGTTTGCACTCACACGCTGAATGTTCATCTATCAGGACGGAAGCAAACCAGTAATGGAAGACAGATGCCCAGCTCCAAGCCATTACCTCAGCGTGAGCTCTGGGAGCCCTGCTTTCAGGCCATGGCCTAGAAAGGTCTGGAATTCATAAATCTTTCTCTAAGTGCTGCCCAGCTGGAGTCTCCAGGCCTCCTCCTCTCTCCACCATATTCATGCACCCAATTCTCCACGATTCAGCTTCCTACACATCACAAGTCCTCCTCCTCCAGGCCTTCATCTTCATCTTGACACCATCCTCTCTTCTGTTCTCCTACTTAACACCTATCCTTCAGGGAGATACTCTAGAGCCAATATCCAATTGCATGCCACATCGGCTTAAATATCTCCGAAAAATGGAATACTGTGTAGCCATTCAACAAAACCGAGGTCACTGCTGATGAAAATGTAAACGTTCTCTGGTAAGCAGTCTGGCAAAAACTGATATAACTCCAAAATGCACAGAGCATTTACCCAGTTGGAATTTACTCTATAAACACACAATTGTTGTGTACCATCAAGTGGAAGAGACCCATAGTGGACCCTCCAGTGGGTTTTCAGAGGCAGTAAATTCCATGAGTGACTGCACATCTTTCTACTGTGGGTCAGCTGGTGGATCTGAATCATGGATGTTTGGGTTGGCAGCCCAATTTCTTACCACCAATCCACTAGGGTTTATTTATAAATAAATAAAAACACAGACAGGTATGAAATGAAAAACCAATAAGGGTGGGCTGAAAGAGCCTACATGACCAGTATGACCAAGGACAGACACTAAATCAGTGCTTCTCCCACTTGGACATACATTTCGGGGGCTCATTAAAATACACATTTAACAAGTCTAGGATCTGCTTTTCAAGTAAATTCCCAGGTGAAGTGGCTGTTCCTCTGCCAGGGGACTACCTACCTCTGGAAAACCATCAATCTAAACAAAGAGAAGGGTACGGAGATGGGGATAACATGCAGCTGTTAAAGAGGAACATAAACAGTATATAACACTGATATACAAAGGAAGGTGTAAAAAATGATGTACACAGAATAAGACACATGGTTTTATAATAATAAAAATGGAGAAAAGCTCATGATCAATATTTGCAGGGGTGTGCGTGTGGGGGGAAGGACACAGAGAAAAGGCTAAAACTTTGGGTCCACTCAAAGGCACGTGGGAAGAAAGGCCTGGTGATCGACCTTAGAAAACCTTGTGGACAGAGCATGGCTCTGCATTGACACTTCGAGTCGTAAAGGGTTTGAAATGACTTGACGGCGACCTGTTTTTCCTATTTGTCAAGGCACAGAATCTAGACAGAGATGGAGAAACGGGGAACATGGCACCTCTGGGGAGAGGGAGTGGGCAGCTGGGGTGGGAGGGAGGCTTTCACCATGCACCTTTTTGTTCCTTCTAAATTCTCTACTGTGGGCACACACTGCCTACCCATCCCATCAGAGAAGAATGAGGCAGATCTATAGGTAGTGACACAGAAAAATGACCCAGATTTCCTGTCAAAGGTGAGGCAGCTGGGGGGACTGGAGTGGAGATGGGGAGGTGAGGATCAAGCTGCAGAGACGGATGTACCACACAATCTCAATTACATGTACGTGTACACACACCTGTACAGAAGGATATGCCATATAATCTCATGTGTCTGTACGCTGTACACACACAGTGTGTGTGTATATAGGAAAAGCTGTGGAAGGTCACATACTACACAGCAATATGGGTTACTTCTAGGGATTTGTGCTGAGGAGATTTGGGGGTTTTTTAATTAATTTTAATGAAAGTTTACAGAGACTTGGGGTTTTTACTCATCACTGTTGCGCTGAGGAGGTTTTAAAGTTAAGCATAAAGTTTTAAGGTGATAAGTAGAGGTGGTCCGCGGGTTCCTAACGAGATCTATTCCCCCAGCGTGTGTCTAAGCCAAATCTGTAGGTCAGCTGGAGCAGGTGCATATATGGCTCTTGTTTAGTCGTCTTTGTTGTTAGATGCCATCAAGCCGGACCTGACTCACAGCTGACTCTCCAGTGGGTTTTCAGAGCTGCACATCACATAGGAGGAGATGATCTTTTTCTCATATAGTAGGCGGTAGATTCAAACCACTTGCCTTTGGGTTAGCAGTGCAACGCCTTACCACTAGAACACCAGAGCCTCCCAGTTTAACTTTAGCGGTGGTGGGGTGGAGGAAAAGGGAACGCTGGTGGCGCAGCGGGGTAGGTGCTGGCTACATGACAAACTGAAAGAACCTGCCAGCTGCACTGTGGGAGAAAGGTGAAGCAGCCTGTTTAAAGAGTAACAGCCTCAGCAATGCCACAGGGTAGTGCGACTTTATCCTACAGAGTCCCTATGAGTCAGAACTGGCTTGATGACAGAGCATTTTAGCACAAGAAGGAGCCCTGGTAGCACAGTGTTTAAGCACTGGTTGCTTGGCAAAAGGTTGGCCATTTGAACCCACGAGCTGTTCTACAGTATAAAAATAGGCAGTCAGCCTCCATTAGGACCTGCATTCTCGGGACCCCCGTGGGGCAGTTTTCCTTCTTCCACGGGGTTGTTATGAGCTGGAGTTCATGTGAGAGCAGCCAGTATGGCCTTAGTATCAAGAAGAGCCCAACTGGCACAGTGATCGTGGGAAGTTCTCTTTGACGAAGTTTCATCTGGGTGTAAAGTGGGGACAATAATACTGGCTTTGCTTTGGTGCGAGGATCAAAGGATGCTGGTTAAATGATTTGTTCAACTGAGCATCATGGCTATTGGTATAGGCTAGCAGGAGTCTGCAGCTTCATGAGCTGCCTTCCGACCCCGCCAGGAGACATTTGGGAAGCATCTGGGGGTGACAGCGGACCTGGAGCTTTCTTCTACACATACCTCCTGCTTCCGCCACATCACACTGTCCATTAGTTCGTGAACTGCCTAGTACCATCTTGCCTCCGTTTCCCCTGCATAAAATGCTTTCTCCTAGTTGAAACCCCACCTTTTACTTCAGGATCAAGCCCACCTCCAACACAGGGTCCCCTGCTCTGCCCTACAGGTGTTCCACCTTGCTTCCTCACCTCCAAGTACCATGTGTGTTATAATCACAGACTGAATCATTTCTGACTCATCAAAATTCCTAAATTCCTAGGTGATGGGGCTCTACTATATTTATCTTCACTGAAGCATCCTTCAGCCTGGACAACTGTGAGTGTTTAGGAAATTGCTGTCTGACAGGTGTTTTCTGAGGAGGTTATTGATCCACGGGTGAAAGGTGTATCGGGAATCATTCAGTTAGTTCTGGGAGCTGCTCAGGTCAGGTTGCCCCTCCCTCCCTTTTACGTCATGCTGTCCATCTGTATCCTCTGTCCTGGTGTATTTCAGAACTTTTCTGTGCTATGTCGGCCCAGCAGACACAGGCTTAAGGCCATCTGAACTCTGCTTAGAAGGGACAGAGCAGAAAGGATAATAGGGTCACTTATGAGCCTAAATCCAGGCTGGGTACTGTCCTTAGCATGTGATCACTGAGCAACCCGGTGAAACCTCTGCTCCTTCCCAAAATGGGTAACGTTTTGACAACCTGGGCTTGAGCAGTTTCAAAAGTGGCAGCTGCTTTGTGGGCCTGCCCTCTTGGGGTGAGACAGCTTCCTCTTGAGCCTGCAGGTCTGGGTGGGGGAGGAACAGAGGGGAGGAGGGAAGGAGCCTGAAGTGGAAAGCCATCTGTGTAATGGGTGGGAGAGGCCTTCAGGTAGGGCAGAAGCACAGAAGGCAGGTGTCCGATGGGACAGATGACGTGGAAGGTGAGAGATGGGGTTTGGTCCATTCTCAAGAAACAAAAAAAAGAGAAGCTGACAGCAGGTCCGCCCTCTTGGCAGGGTGGATGTCTTGGGTGGGATGGGGCGGAGTCGGGGACTTGGGCAGTTACAGGATGGGACAAGATGCAGGCCCAACATTGGGTAGCAGTTGCAGAGGGGAACCCAGCAGAATAACGAGTCTGTGGCTGGTTAAAAAGAGGCACAAGGGTGGCAGGTTCTGGGCAGCTGGCTGATCGGAACCGGTTTCCGAGAGTGTTGTGAAAACCTGAGGGTGAAGTGAAGCCTTACGTCTCTGGGTTAATTTTTTTGAGGTACACGCAAGGGTCTAATCCAGGGGTTCGGGGACGAGACACATTAAAGTCAAAGATCCCAGCTGGGCAGAAGGCAAGAGTCTCGGCTGGGCCTGGATGAAAGCGCTGGAGCGGGGGTGGGCTGAGGATGACAAGGGATGGCATCCCCTCGGGAGCGCTACAGGGCCAGTGAGCCATCAGTTAAAGAGCCGGGTCTTATGTCCGGGACAGGACAGGTCGCCTGGGTCCAGGAGGCTCAAAGCAACCAGTGCTGGAACCCCAACCTACTCATCAGCTGACAATGACAGCAGCTGCTGGTATGAGGCACGGAGGGAGGGGTGTGTCAGGGCCGAGAGGCAAAGTGTCAGTCCTCGTGTCATTTCGGGGGTTGGTGCCCCGATCCTGCGGAACGAGAGTCAGTCCGGGATGCAGATTCGGGAGGGTGTGCCGGTGCTCGATGCTGGGAAGGGCCAGTGTCTGGGAAGGGGAGGTAACTGTCAGATCTACACCGGCAGGGGGAGGGACCATGTCATCCTCAGGGAGAGGGACAGAAAGTGCCCCGGCGTGCCGCCGTCCTACCTTGCCGTGTGCGCAGCGTACCGAGCGCAGGGCGCCGAAGAAGATGGGCAGCAGCGCCATGAGCAGGAGGCTACCGTAGGCCAGTGCGATGCCCTCGGGGGTGGAGGGTGGCCTCGTCGTGCCGTTAGCCGGACTGCCGGCCTCGGCGCTGACGTTGTGCGGATCGCTGAGGGCTGAGTCCATAGCGAGGCCGCGCTCGGGGTGAGTCTACAGAACTACAGTTCCAGGCTCCGTATGCTCAAGCGGGGAGGGAAACAGGCGCTGCAGGGAAAGCCACGTTCCCCTAAAGAAACAGGAAGTGACGAGACCCCTCGGTGACTCGCGCTGCGCAGGCGTGCGAGCGCGCACGCAGGCGCGCGCACGCGCTTCCCCGCCCGCTCGCCCTCTAGTGGCCACAGAGGGGGCGGGGGAAGCCAAGGGTTGCTAAGCAACCTACTCAAACCAAAACCAAAACCTAATCCAACTGTTGTAGTGGAGTAGAACTATATCCATGCAGCTGGAGATGTCGTGAAGTAGAAATATAACTTTCAAGCTGTAACTGGATGGCTGTGGGTTTTAGTTTGGATATTTTGGAGGGACAACACTGAGTCTTCTTTTTTTTTTGGTGTGTGTGTGTGTGTGTGTGTGTGTGTGTGTGTTTTGTCAACAGAGAGCTGCCAGATGTGCGGACTGGGTTTAGAAGAGGCCGTGGTACTAGGGATATTATAGCTAATGTTACATGGATCTTGGCAGAAAGCTAAGCGTACTAGAGGAATGTCTTATCTGTGCTTCATTGACTATGCGAAGGTTTTTGACTGTGGATCACAACAAGCTGTGGCTCTACTCAGGTTTCACTCTGGAGCTTACTGGTTTTTGGTCTTTTACTGAAGATATTTCCAGGGTTGTAACCATTATGAGTTAAACGGCACAAAAACAACAAGCTGTGGCTGACTCTAAGAAGAAGGGGAATCCTACAACATTTTTGATCGTGCTAATGCAAACCTATACTTGAACTAAGAGGCAGTAGTCAGAACAGAGCAAGGAGACACTGCATGGTTCAAAATTGGGAAGGGCGTCTGCCAGGAATGTATTCTGTCTCCATACCTTTTCAACCTGTATGCAGAACAGATCATCTGGGACGCTGGGCTGTACGAAGAGGAATGTGGCGTCAGGACTGGTGGAAGATTCATCAATAACCTGCGTTGTGCAAATGGCACAACCCTACTTGCTGAAACTGAGGAGGACCTGAAGTGCTTGCTGCAGAAGGTGAAGGACTGCAGCCTTCAATACAGATTGAAGCTCAACATAAAAAAAAAACACAGATTGGGGAGCTCTGGTGGCCTAGTGGCAAGAAGCTGCAACTACAATCCCAGAGGCTCACGGTTCGAATCCACCAGATGCTCTGCCGGGAAAAGGAGGGACAATCTCCTCCTTTACCAGTCAGATCTGATTTGACGGTACACTCACAAAAAAAAAAAAAAATTAAATTAAAAAAAAACCCAACAAAGATTCTCACCACTGTGTCAATTGGCAGCATCATAATAGACAGTGGAGAGATTGAGATAGTTAATAGTTTTAGTTTGCTTGGCTCCACAGTCAACACTATTGGTAACAGCAGCCAGGAAATCAAGGGATGAATTGCATTTGGGAAGTCAGCTGTCAGGGATCTCTTCAGAGTACTGAAGAGCAATGACATCATGCTGGAGACTAAGGTGTGCCTGATCCGGGCTACAGTCTTCTCAATTGTGTGCTATGCATCCGGAGAGCTGGGCAGTGACTAGAGATGGTAGAGAGTTGATACCTTTGAGCTGTGGTGCTGGAGAAGAGTGTTGAATATACCATGGACTGATAAAGAGAACAGTTTTGTCCTGGAGAAGGTGAAGCTGGTCTGCTCCTTGGAGGCAAAGACTCTGAAGCTTCATCTGACATACTTTGGGCATGTTGCAAGGAGGAACCAGTCCTCAGAGAGGGATATCATGTTTGGGAGAGTGGAGGGACAGTGTAGGAGAGGAAGACCCTCGATGAGATGGATCAATTCAGTGATTGGGGTAGTGGAAGTAGGGTATGTTGGAGACAATGAGGTTGGCATAGGATAGAGCAGGGTTTAGGGCTCTTGTACATAAGGTCACTATGAGTCCCAAGCGACTCGACAGCACGTAACAAACAACTAGTTTATTTACAAAACTCGAATACAAATTCGAACAAATTCTTTCAATTTCCCTCAACTCCCCACGTCAAATTGTACAACCCAATGATTAATCCCCCCTCCCCCTGCACATCCACATCCCTCTGCTTCCAGCCTCTCCCACCCTTCCTAGATCCTTATACTCATTCTATAATAATGATTTTATACAATATTTATCCTTGTGGGACTGAGTTAGTTCACTCAGCATAATGCTCTCCAGTCCCTCTCAAGTTAGGTAATAATTTATAAAGTTATTGCTTCTGTGTGCTGCATAGTATTCCATTGTGTGAATATGCCATTATTTCTCAATCCATTTGTTTGTGGTTGGACATTTGGCTATTTCCATGTTCTTGAGATGGAAACAGACACATGAAGAAATGCTTCAAATCACTGGCAATAAGAGAGATGCAAACCAAAACCACAACGAGGTACCATCTCATTCCAGAAACAGTGGCAAAGTTTAACAGGACAGCAAGTAATAGATGTTGGCGTGAATATGGCGAGAAAGAAACTCTTATACATTGTTTGTGGGATTGTAAAATGGTGCAACCATTCTGCAAGACAGTCTGGAGCTTCCCCAAGTAGCTGAACATAGAAATTCCATATGATCAGCCATTCCATACTTGGAATATACCCTGAGAGGATGAGAACTTTGATGAGAAGATGAGATTTGTACACCAATGAGTCTTTCTTCTGAAGCACTTTTTGGGTGGGTTAAAACTGCCAGCCTTTTGATTAGTAATCCGTACTTAACTAGTTGCACCATCCAGTGACTCCTGACATTATTACCCTTATTATTATTCTGGTATTCTGGTGAGATCCTTGACAGCCGACTTCGCCAGTGTAACATGTCTTTTGATTTCTTTACTGCCAGTGCCAAGTGTTGCACACCAAGGGTCCCAAAGAATGAAATAATTTTATAATTATTAATAATGAGACAGACTACCAGGAATGATACAGAACAGAGTGTGAAAAACAGGGGGCCAACAGTTCCCATGGCTGAAGGCCCCAAGCCATGCTTCTCTGAGTATTTCTTTAGAATCATAAGGAAGGTAAGCAAAGTAAAATCACAAGGAAGTACAAAGCAAAAACAAAGGATAATGGTGAAGTCTTTTACAGATAAGGCCAAGTTCCTCTTTATGCTAATCTCAAGAGGGAGGGATTCATTTGACACAAACTAAGAACAATGTTGACTCCTAGGGAATGCCCCAGTGTCACAAGGTGACCTTCAGCTTGTATTAAACTTCCCTCATTTCCCTATACAGCATTTGGTCTACTATTATTAAATTTGATATTCGGCTTCCCTCAGCCAAGGATGCTGATTGTGGATCCAAGTATGATGAAATCATTGACAAGATCAACCTTTTCTCTATCTTCGTGCTGCCTATGAGCCCAAGGTAAGGATTTTAATTTTCTTGATGTTGAAATGTAATCCAGATTGGAGACAGTAGTTATTGTGCTTCTTTACCAAGCATTTCAAGTCCTCTTCACTCTGAACTACGTAGGAATAAAAACTGATATGGGGAGGGAAGGAATAGTGCAACAGTGAATCTTTTTAAAGAGAAAAGCAAATGGGGGGGTGCTGTAAGGAGGAAAATGTGCAACAATGAATGAATGGAAATTCAAGTTTTCTGTTAACTTTAGTCAAAATATCAATAAAAAATAATAATAAAGACTAAGATACATCCAAGTTAGGCCATTCAGGTATTTTTTTCTTTTTTACCTTCAAAAGTTCATTCTATATTCTGAATTTTTCCAATTATAATATTTCTGGGCTAGGGGTGGGGTCAACACTATAACTAATGCTTAACTCCACAATAAGGGATTTATCTTCCACTGCTTCACAAATTGCTTGTCTGTCAGATACTCCTCTAAATCTGAACATTCAGATTAAGACAGACTAGGAAGAAGGATTGGCCACCCACTTCTGAAATAGCAGGCCTCT